TCATAACCATTACAGAAGGAAACTAGCATCTACGTGATGCTCTGATCAAGACCAACGTCCATTCCGATGTGTTTTAAGAAGTCTCTAGAGAAGCTTTTGGCAGAATACCCAACTAGACTGTGCACAGAATCACAGTCCAGCCAGTTCAAATGTATTCAGTCACAAGATGGTTCTGAGTAGTTTAGAGCAATGATTTATTCTCAGTATTATTAGAAAACATCTGACAACTGTTTCATTGTATATGGGTTGTACTGTATGTAGAGGTATAGCTTTTGGGAACAGTTCAACATTTTGGGAAATGTGCCCATTTCTTTTCTCTCCAAGAGTAAGAAAGAAAGTCACTTTGGGCTTTTCCCGTTTAGGGGTCGCCACAGCGAATCGTCACACTGACGACTCGCATGTAGACATTTGGCATGTGTTTTACGCCGGATGCCCTTCCTGACGCAACCCTGATTCGAACCTAGGCTGCAGTGGTGAGAGCGCTGTGCCTTAACCACTAGCCTATCGGGGACCTTTCTCTCCAAGAGTGAAATGAGAAAAATCAATATTATTCCAACGTCTGTGCACTAAAGTGGCTATAATCAATATTTCCATATTAACAGTGCATCACATGCCTACATGTGTATGAAAGGGGTCACAGGTCATGAAGATCCACAGAGAATCATCATACAAATCCACGGTTACCTTTAGTGCTACAGAGCATTTTAGCATTTGTCAACTTTTGGTTTTATGGCTAGCAACTTTATCATTTTGGTTCGGCCCCCTTGAACTTTGCGACCTTTTGCCACATTTCAGGCTTCAAACATAAAGATATAAAACTGTAATTTTTTGTGAAGAATCAACAACAAGTGGGACACAATCATGAAGTGGAACGAAATTTATTGGATATTTCAAACGTTTTTAACAAATAAAAAACTGAAAAATTGGCCGTGCAAAATTATTCAGCCCCCTTAAGTTAATACTTTGTAGCGCCACCTTTTGCTGCGATTACAGCTGTAAGTCACTTGGGGTATGTCTCTATCAGTTTTGCACATCGAGAGACTGAAATTTTTGCCCATGCCTCCTTGCAAAACAGCTCGAGCTCAGTGAGGTTGGATGGAGAGCGTTTGTGAACAGCAGCTTTCAGTTCTTTCCACAGATTCTCGAATGGATTCAGGTCTGGACTTTGACTTGGCCATTCTAACACCTGGATATGTTTAGTTGTGAACCATTCCATTGTAGATTTTGCCTTATGTTTTGGATCATTGTCTTGTTGGAAGACAAAGCTCCGTCCCAGTCTCAGGTCTTTTGCAGACTCCATCAGGTTTCCTTCCAGAATGGTCCTGTATGTGGCTCCATCCATCTTCCCATCAATTTTAACCATCTTCCCGGTCCCTGCTGAAGAAAAGCAGGCCCAAACCACGATGCTGCCACCACCATGTTTGACAGTGGGGATGGTGTGTTCAGGGCGATGAGCTGTGTTGCTTTTACGCCAAACATAACATTTTGCATTGTTGCCAAAAAGTTCGATTTTGGTTTCATCTGGGACAGGGAAGATGGTTCAAATTGATGGGAAGATGGATGGAGCCAAATACAGGACCATTTTGGAAGGAAACCTGATGGAGTCTGCAAAAGACCTGAGACTGGGACGGAGATTTGTCTTCCAACAAGACAATGATCCAAAACATAAAGCAAAATCTACAATGGAATGGTTCACAAATAAACATATCCAGGTGTTAGAATGGCCAAGTCAAAGTCCAGACCTGAATCTAATCGAGAATCTGTGGAAAGAACTGAAAACTGCTGTTCACAAACGCTCTCTATCCAACCTCACTGAGCTCGAGCTGTTTTGCAAGGAGGAATGGGCAAAAATTTCCGTCTCTCGATGTGCAAAACTGATAGAGACATACCCCAAGCGATTTACAGCTGTAATCGCAGCAAAAGGTGGCGCTACAAAGTATTAACTTAAGGGGGCTGAATAATTTTGCACGCCCAATTTTTCAGTTTTTTATTTGTTAAAAAAGTTTGACATATCCAATAAATTTCGTTCCACTTCATGATTGTGTCCCACTTGTTGTTGATTCTTCACAAAAAATTACAGTTTTATATCTTTATGTTTGAAGCCTGAAATGTGGCAAAAGGTCGCAAAGTTCAAGGGGGCCGAATACTTTCGCAAGGCACTGTATAATATATTATCCATTTGCCCTGCCCTGCAACATCTCCAGCTATAGCATGTTTTGCTACAGAAGGTGCGTTCGGTAAGCACTGGATTTGTACAGGCCTGATGCTACTGAACTTGGCAAGAGAAGTAGCAGTGCACAGGCACTGCACCCTGCTGTTGTTTACAAAAACAGTTTAAGCATGTAATTCAGTTTAAAACCAAAAACTGCTGCTTTTTAGACTTTTGTTAAACAAACTCTATAGAATATGTTTGTGTATTAGCTTTTGAGGTGCCGGTATACACCCCCCCTTGCAGTTGCTATGCTAAGATAGGCGTCCTGACTCCAGCTCTGCACTGAAGGCACAGACATGACTACTATTGTTCTTCTCATCTCATTTAAAACAAATAAGTATTTCAAAAAATGTCACATTCATCTGCAACTTTTTCCAGCATTTTCCCCTGAAACTTGTGCAGTTGAATCTTACAGATATTGATGCATCACTCATAAAAAAGTGATTTTTTGGGGGGCACACAGTAGCATGAAAGTCTCATTTTCACTCCACCAGTCCTGCATACATTAAAATAACCAGCTCATGGGGCAAAATCTCAAATTTGGCTTTTCTCACACATTAAGTGCTTCAAAAGTTAAGAACAGAGTATTAGCATTTTTCTTGCTCATTATTCCTGAAATGACCTCAAGAGCAAAATTAAGCTACACCCTATAACTGTACGAGTCCAGTCAAGGAGAAGTCCTTTTCATAGAACCAAGCTGCTGTTTTCCACAGTATGTTTAATTAATGAACTATCATTAACGATGGTAGCAGTGGAGCATTAGGGGAAGTAATGATCATACAGTCAGTAATTATATCAGTGATAGGTCTGTTTATTATGATTAGTCTGTACAAACCAGTAATCTATTTTTATCTGTTTATTATTCTGTGCATTTTTAATCAGTTATTACTTATTGCAGCAGAAGTGCTCCTATAACACACAATGAAAAATTACTAATGACTAATTTTCTTTTGAGTGATATATTTTATATACTGTGTATGTAGCTTGAAGTCAGAAAGCAAGATATGCTGTCAAGAATGAGCCTAAACATGACATTTTCTGGAAAAACAAATGGCAATAACAACAAAACAGACAAACCCAGATCCTCCTCTGCTTTGTTCTACAATGTTAACACTATGCCTAAAGGTTACCGACACAACACAGTTACTACTGTAAGCATGTTTAAAGAACTATTCTCCTCTCTGCCCATCAAGACATTTCACATTGTCTAAATCCTCTTTACATTTTAGACAAAACAAGCCCATTTGTGATGTGAAAAGACAAAGGTCTTTTGTTTTGAGCACAGGGAAGCACGGCATATTTGATCTGAGCTTTGATTGTGTCAGGCACATGACAAACGTCTCTGGCCTTTTAAAAAGGACAAATGTGGATCATGGATGAATTTTCTTCCACAGCTGAGACATGACATGGCTCTAAATCATGTACAGTACATGTGGGAGAGTTTCACACTTATTTTGAGTTCCTGGTGCTGGTTTTAAACTCACTGTGAAAAGCAGCTGCACTATCTCCTGATTGAATCACTGCCTTTTCTCTACAATTTTCAGCTCACCATTACAACAGCATTGAATAAAAGACTACGTGGATTCTGTTTTAGGGTGAAAACGTTTTGCTTGAACCAATTTTAACACTCCTCATTGCTGTGAATGGCAAAAACAGACAAACACATGATTGTCACATCATCCTTAAGTCTTAAAACCTCTCCAATAGGCAGCAGTCCTTCATATTCACAGTCTAGGCTTAGTTTTCCCACCAAAATGCAAGTAAACAAACTTGTACATGCTGTGTGGAGTGTTGATGTGTTGCCACCTCACATTCCCTGCCATATTAGAAATCTGAAACAAAGAGGTATGATGCTATGTCTATCAAAGAATTATACTAATTTCTGAGCCTTTTTCTTTTTCATGCTGGCATCAAAAGGCTTGTTTGGCTAACCTTCACTCCTTTCACTGTTCTGCAGTTCCATTTTAACAAACTTGGCCAGCATGTCACACATACATCAGTGACTTTTCTTCTCTTTTACTTCCTCTTCCCCCTTTGCCTTCCTCTCCCTCTTGTTTTAAGTCCATACCAACCTAATGCAAGGCCCACGGTGTCGTGGTTAGTGCCCACTTCCTACCATCATGCTTATGTTTTGTTATATGTCACCTGCCCCAGCTTTATCACCGGTCTAAACATCCGTAATTGCATTCACCTGCCGCTTATTATCTCATGTATGTCAATGGGCAGGACAAAAATATACAGACACCTCTGAATATAACGTAGTCCAGTGCAACACCACCTTTAACTATGACCTCAATAATGAACATGTAATTGAATTTATACATTTATGACAATCTCACCAAAAACTGAAACATTTTGAGTTTCATAAACCCACATGTTAAGGCAGAAGTGTTAAATTGAGGTGTATACAGATGTACAGGTGGTCATAATGGTACGCCTGATCGGTGTATGTATGTTCAATTTAAATTAATGTAACATTTTTATTTCGATTCCAATTTTAGTTTTTTCAGCCTTTTCATCAACATCTGCTTAATATCTTGAGTCTTGAAGCAATATATGATTGGATTAACAGCAGCAGGAAAAACACTGTACAAGAGCATCAGTAAAATGCGAACATCTATACTGAAAGAAAATCCAGCAACAGCAGACACATAAACAAAACACCTAGGAATGTAAAAAAGACATGTGATGAACATACAGATGTACAGGTGGTCATAATGTTATGCCTGATCGATATACGCCCTGGTTCCGTGTGCTCGCCGCTGGTTCATTGATGACGGTCACTTACCCCTGTTCCTGGCTCGACGGCGTCCCGGTCGCCCCTTCTCCTGTGCCGATACTATGATCTCCGGGCTGGTGAAACTCCTCTACTTGCTCTCCAGCGGAATGACGAATTACCTTCCCGGCAACCTGCCCTCCGTCTGAATAAATGCCTTATGTGCACGCTACCTGTTTATCCTGATCTCCGGAGTGGGTGGGACATCTTCTACCTGGTCCCCGGCTGAGCGACCTACCTGTACATTTACCTGCTTACCCTGGTCTCTGGTGTGGCTCCACGCTGCGTGCCAGCCTTCGTCCTCCGCCTCATGCTGCCTGCCTTCTTGTTCCCAGTCCAATCTACCCGTCTCCTCACCTCTGTTCGGCCCAACAAAGCCTGCCTGTCCCGTTCCATTCAGAACCTGCTCTGCCTCTGTTCTCCTTTCGCCTTCACTCTGTAACCTGTTCCTTATTTAATTAATAAACTTTTGTTCCACTAGTGTCTAGTCTGTCTGCGTATTGGATCCACCTGTACCTGCCAGCCCTAACAGGCGGTTTTGCTGAGAGCACCTGGTGAGTTAGAGGTTAGGCCAGGTGGCACACAGCTTCGACTGTCAATTAGAGCGGTGCCCATGTGAGAGCTGACCGAGATAACCTCTAATTAAAAATGGACCTCCCAGGCATAACAATTAGCCTTCCTTTCAAAGAAACCCACAGAAAGGATGCATGTCAAGTCCACTGACACAATGATTTTTCCGTTTTGGCTGCCAAATAAAACTCTGCTGAAGACAAAGCAACTAAAAACATGCAAGTAGAAACAGTAATCCTGAGCAAAGCCTGGTAGAGTGAGAGCGTATGAATAACATACATATTGTACAGGTGACTCTATTTAAGCAAAGAATTAAGGCTTTTATCCCCTGCACCAAGACTATAAGGAGAGTAAAAGGTTGAAAAAGGTTTTACAGTGATGATCTCAGCCTAACTGTACCAGAGATGTTTAGGATCATTTGCAATGAACAGTTCAGGTACAACAAAATGATGAAACTCAAGGATGGTGCATGTGTCCATCAAAATAGACAAGAAAAAAGGGAATCTTCTCAGGAAGCTGTGATATGGAAATGTATGGTCATGTACTGTAGCTCAGAAGAAACATCCGCTGCACAGTACAGTGTGGTTTTACATAATGCATCCATCCCCCTTGAAATGCACCAGCTGTGGATTCCCTTCCTCGTCTCTTCTTAAGGCACCTGCCAATAAGCACCATCAAACAAGCAGCTGCAGATAAGAGCCATGCAGTGATTTGACATGCCTAATTGCAAGAGTGATGTGTAGTCTGGATGTCGCTGATTGCGCTGGGGAAAGATTACGACAGCAATCACAAGACGATGTTGTTTGCTATAGTGGCAGTTGTGTTTTTATAACCATGTGCAAAAAATCTCCCAAGTGAGAAAAATGTAGCAAAGACACAGTAACATATTTTGTAAATGCTCACATGTAGCAAATGCCAATAGTATTGGCCATGTGGGTCCAGAATATAAAAAGTCTGCTCATGCTTGACTTAAAAACAAGAATGGTGCTGAGGTGTTTCTTGGAAAATGGCCAGGACTGTTAAGTGGAAAGAGAGGGCAAATCAAAAAGCCAGGGAAGTCCAAGGGGAATACTGTGAAGGAAAAAAGGCAGCGTGTGATCGAGCCAAGAGGCCCAAACAAAAGACACCAACTATTAGTGAAATATACAGGCAGCAACACCACCAGGGAGTGGAAACATTTTTGCTATAGGTGGATCAGGCCTGGTCTCAGATCTTGCTGGAAATCTGTGTACTTAAATGGTCGGATTGGGTCTGAGGTGAGCCACAGGGATTCCTCTGTCTGGAGTCTGAATGTCAGAGCTGAATAACTGATTACAGTAAAGCCTGCGCTGACTTAAACTCAGCCCTCACACCGCTGCAGCTAAAGACTAGAGGAAATACCTTGCTGGAAACATCTTACACCTGGAAGTCAGATTCTTAGAGAAACTTGGACAAACTTTGAATGAGATGTTAGGCACCCTGGTGGAATGCTATAGGTTTCAGTTTGGCATGGCCTGTTTGAAGTGGAAACGGCAGCACAACTTTGGTTTCATCAGACTTCTCACAGCATGTCTTGCTGGCTGGCAGTTGGTGTGAGTTGCCATGATTCGCAGTGACTCATTGCTACTTCCATGTTCCATTGTTAAAGGGAGCCCATAGAGAATTTCTGCTCAGAGGAATCACACATTGAAATGTACGTTGAAGACTAAGTGCACGTTATCTGGATGATACAAATTTCTTTCATAATAGCTCCTCTAAATTATAGTGTATCAAATGGTAATTGCTTATGACAACTACAATTTCCAGATGTGATTGGCTTTCAAGATAATGAATGCCACCAAAGCAGCCCATCGCCTCAGCCCATCACCCCCCCTTTCGTAAATACTGCAGCATGCTCCCCCAAGGTCACACCATCCAATCTGGTTGGAGATGTGATGACAAACCAGCTGAGCTAATGTATTCTACCTGCTTATTATTTATAATGGTGAGAAGAGGTTTCAGTGAAAAATTAAGCAGTGCCTCACAGACACCTTCAGCAGTAATTGAGATGACATCTCATGCAAAATACACAGCAGAGGGGATCATCACAAATTTCATAACCCATAAACCTAGAGTTTACTCATATCAGGATATTACACTGTCAGTGAAATGCAGAGTGATTAATGTTGAAGACAAATTAAAAGGATTTCTGTCTGAGGAAATTGTTGTTTCACTTAATGAGGCTACTTCCAGGACACCAGTCACCCACTGTGATGTGAACAGCACTGATACCCTCCCTTCTGAACATCTGCTGTATGTTCAACAGTTGCTCAGGCTTGGTCCACAGTGGGTGATACAATATTCAGTATTTTAGAAGTCAGAAAGCTGAGCAGTGCAAGAGGTAGCCAGCAGCCCCCTCCCATAGCATCTAAAGCCAAGAAATGACAACCAGTCCTGAAAAAGAAGATGTTTTTTTAGTGTGATACTACAGTTTGGGCTGGTGGCCAACAGACAACATTAATAAACCAAGAGAGATACACAGGAACATGCTGAGACCTCAACATCAAGGATATGAATTATGAAATGCATTACTAGTCTTCTTATACATCTGCAGTGATTTAAACACCAGAATAGTTTCTAAGACAACAACAGCAATCATCCAAGTATTATTAATTGTGTAGATTTGCAGAAGAAAGTTATAGTGCAACACCCGCTCAGCAGCACTTTAAGAATTTAATCCTGCCTGTGCGCTACTCTGTTTAAGGTGCTGAGACTAAAAGGTATATTTAGGCTATAAGGTGATATAATCGCTATGTATTAAAACGCGTTTTGTTTCGATACTCACTTAAAGTGAAGCCCGGGCTGCGCGTAAAGTCCCGTTATTTCCGTGCGGTGCGGCAACAGCAGCAGCAGACACACGGGGAACGAACGGCGAGCAAACCAACCCAGTCACAGCCTGAAATGTCCAATTTAAGGGGGAAAACAAGCTCCAAACTGGCAACCTCACGCCGCTGCATCTTTGAATATGAAAACACTGGGAGGAGGTTTAGCCTGCTCCATGCTTTGTGCGTGTGTGTTTTTCCTGCCAAGCAGGAGAAGGATACGAACAGTTTCCTTGCGTTCACCGTTATTCGCTCCAAGGCAATGAGAGGCATGCATGTTAATTCCTGAGCGCTGGCCACGGGGAGCACAACGCTCCTACGCCCCTCAGCATCCTCACTCACACACTCATATAAAGATTTGTTTTTATGCGTGACCAGGTCCTGCTGTTAGCCTCCAGCTGACTGCTTAAGGAAGCAACAACTATAGCCTAAACCAATAAAGGATTCATCAGCATTTATGGGCCACCTTTAATATCTCACAGCCACTTCTTTTACTATAATTGCAATGGTCTTATATTATTAAAGTCAAACTGGGAAAAATTATGTTTTATTACAAATAGAATCTGTTTTTTTGCATAATGTTCCTACTGTATTATACCCCTAATTTAAAACTTTACAGGAAGTTACCCACTGATCCATATCATGCTTCTATTTGTAGGCTTTCCTTGCTTACAGGATCACTACAGTTTGTTTCCATAAATGAAGCAGACTAATAGGATAAAACAAGTGACTGGTAGCTTAACTGTGTGAGCTCACCCAGGCTGAAGTTCACTTAGCCATACTATTTAAAGAGACCAGCAGAGATCTGCTGGCTAGGTGAATGCCTACCTTTAACCCCACTGCCTTATGAAAGCTGGCAACATTTAGAATAACTCCTCAGTAAGGAATTTATTTAAAATGTTACTAATTCTTTCTATCATTCTGAAAAGTTCACTAAATGATGCGTGCAATAGTTTCAAAGTAGTGAAATAGTCTAGTGAACGTGTTTCATGCACAGTGAGTTGTGAATGTAAGGAACAACATTATTCCTGTGTTCTTACAGAGTTTATGATTCAAGTTGTCAGATCACATATTTAAGCAACACGAGATACAATTTCTTGAAAACCAAACAAGGCTGCAACTACAGATAATTTCTGAATGGACGGTAATTTCAATAGCAATGCATTTAGTTGAAATGAAGTGTATGGTTTACTTAGCAAAGCAAAGGAAAGCAAAATTTGTTTTCTAAGGGCACTAATTTATTTAGTATATAACTTGATATTGCAGTGAGATGCATGTCTGCAGATCTGTAGCTTGCCTTGGGGCCCTGGACACCTGAGGTTCCTGGAAGCTGTTGTTTGCATGCAGATAAGTTTAGCATTTGATAGAACATTTTCTCTCTGGTTGAGATCTGCATGCTGTTTTAGGTTCAACAGATGGGTAAGCACTTGGCTGGATGGGGACTTGACAAGCCAGCTGAACATACTGTACAGGGAGGAGTGATGCCTGCTGGCAGTGTGTAGGGGACTGGAGTGTCTGAGAGTGTGTGGAGAGGTGCAGACAGCATGGTTAAGATGGGAGCAGGGTAAAGCTTGATTTAGAGAACTGTAAAATCTTGTTTTTTCTTGCTATTGGCATCATCTGAGGTGGTGACAGTAGATATGGTGGCATTCGTAGTTGCCATGGAGTTTTGCAGCCATAGGCTCATAACTGTTAAAAATTTTAAAGGCTATTTATTGCATTTCTTCTAACTTCCATTCTTATGACAAGAAAAAAAAACTATCAAAGAGGAATGAAAATCCTGCTATATGGAGTTATTTGGACATCACAGAACTGATTTAGGTATAAATGTAGTTATTACTATTCCTAGTACATTTCTGTCAGCTGTAACTTGTTACTAAGAAAAACTGATAGTAAACGTTGTCACTGGCTCACTTTTTCATTTCCAACTGTTTTAAAATAAAAATGATGGAAAAGAGGTTTTAAATATGCATTTTAAAAGGATTATTGG